ATATATAATTATGAATGAAGTTTATAAGTTTTAATATTATAATTTATAAAAAAAATTGATAAAATTTTGATCCATTGTTTCAAAATCAGACCAACCAAATCAATTTTATGTTTGGTCAATATTTTAAAAATGATTGGTCCATTTGATCCTTAAGTATGGTGGATCCAATCGCCTAATCCACTCATTTGCTCACCCCTAGTCATGTGAGTATAAAATAATAAGTAGTATTTTAATTAATAATAATTACTCAACCGTTATTAATAAAAATTTATTTAATTCAAAATAAAAGTACAAAAACTTCATTAAACATAATAGAAAAATAAAAATTTATTTAAATTTTCTTGAGTAATTTTGAGACTTTTCAAACCATTATGTCATGTTTTTCACTTATTATTTTTTTTTTGTAATTTTTTTATTTTTCAAATCTAGCTTAGGGGTTGATTTTGTTCATTGGGGTTAGTTTTTGTTGTTAGGTTAGGTTATTTCCTTGTGTGTATAGTCACTAATTTCATTTGAGTGGTTGGTTTTTGATAAATATACGTATTTTTTTTTATCTATATCCACCTTATATGTCATTTCACTATAAACATGATAGAGATTAGTAATGACACATAGTATAGAGGTTAATAAATGTGCTATTTTTTGAAAAAAAAAAGAATATAAATTTTTTTAATACGAGCCTTAATCAAGAAACCAAGTAAATGAATCTTTTTCAAGCGTACATATACATGAGAGGGACAGGGAGAGAGAGAGGGAGGGGCGTAGGGCATAAGGTATCGAAAAGTCAAAGGGTTTTCCAAAATCCTTTTGGCTTGTGAAACCCTGAAACATGAAACGCGAGGGAATTAAGATTAGTATGCAATGAAATTGGGTATCAACCCGAAACGCCTCTGACGTCGACAGCTGAAGTAGTCAAGATCCATGCATGAGGACCCCTGCCCCTGCCTCTGGCTGGCTGTGGGGTTTGCGTATTTATGAACATGGAAAAGTAGGAGAGCCTAATTCCCATCTCCACAGCGTCCTTTTTTAAATCACTTCTTCAACTTCTAACGAACGACGCAATGTGTTGCAGCTTCATTACTTCGTGATTTCCATGTCTTTTGTTTTTGTCTTCCATATGCGTTGACACACGTTATTGTTGTTGAACATGCCCTGCACATGCACGCATGACAATTACCTACAAATTGCAACTTGCTAGCTTTCTATTTAGTATTACCTAACTCTTAACTAGAAGCAGCAACAGCTAGCCATGAGTTTCTCAAACCTTGGGTCAAGCTATACAAACATCACTTTGAAGGTGAGAGAGCACAAAAAATTCACTAAGAATTGATCAGTCATACTGGTGTTTCAAATACAATGAAACGATGCTAGAAGATTTTCCTCCTTAGCTATCTACTGTAAATTGCCATCAACTAGGTAGCTATTGCATTTAATATCAATTAGTATAGCTAGTGCTTCACTGGGTGCAATGTGAAATAGGGGATGAACACAGGCATTCTTCTTGTTGTTGATCACGTTTTTTGTGTTTTCTTGGGTTGATGTTTTTCACGGAAAAGACACAAAGGCATCTTGGAATCTCACTCAACCACTATCCAAGAAAATGAAATTAATTAAAGGGCTTTCATTTGGTTTAATGAAGACTTTTTTACGAATTTGTTATTATATATATATATATATGTGTGTGTGTGTGTGTGCACGTGTGAAAGGAAAAAGAAAAAAGTGTAATATGCCTTAATGTTCTTGATAGAACATGCTTTCGTTTCAAATGCAATATTCATTATTAATTATAAAAACCAACTTTTCCCTTTCTGTTTTAATTAAGATTTGATACAATTTTTCTCAAAAACCCAAAAAAAAAGAAAAAGGAAAAGGTTACATTTTGAGATGCATGAGAGGGAAGGATAAAGTGTAGATAGTTTGTATCTGG